TGCTGACTGAATGGACCAGGTAGTCGGTTACTTCGGAACTCTTATCTCTGATTATGAGGTAAAACTGAAATGTACCTCTAGCTCCCTTCTGGGAGGGATTTTTTTTTAACATATTTTATTGATTTTTCACAGAGAGGAAGGGAGAGGGATAGAGAGTTAGAAACATTGATGAGACAGAAACATCGATCTGTGCCTGAAACCAAGGTACAGTACATGCCTTAGCCGGAATCGAACCTGGGACCTTCCAGTCCGCAGGCTCTATCCACTGAGCCAAACCAGTTAGGGCGAGGGATTATTTTAAATGGAGGAAGAACAATCTTATTTCATTCCAAGTATCATTGCAGACCAGGTTTTCATAAGGTAGACAGGGGCCTTGCTTAAAATATAGGGTGTCCCAAAAAATGGGACACACTTGGAGTAACTTAATTCCAGTGGGTTAAATCTGAAAAGAAAGAAACATCAACTGAGCTATCTGAAAAAAAAAAAAGTGTGTATACATTTTTGGGAGGAAACCCTGTAATATTTCTGAACAGTTTGTTGACACTTCAGCCTGGGACCCAACAGCAAGGTTTTCTGTGGACGCTGGAGGCCAATTAAAGGAGATACAGGGTTCACTCAGCACTGAGCTCTAAGGAACCTGCCCACTGCTCCCCACGTACAACGCTAACATGGGCCTGCAGTGCACCACTCTCTCCCACAATCCTCCATGTTTATGACCATGTCGGAACTTCCCAGCGAGCACATGGGCTGCCGCCCAGAGAGGCTGCTGCTCAGTCACCACCATCTGGAAATGGAGCTCATGTGCCAACCACACACCCAGGGCTCTTCCAGACCAGCACCTCCAGCCCTTTGCAGCAAACATACAAGAAGAACGGGCATTCCCGGGATCATGCACAGCTCTCTGAATGCTGGCTCCAACCTCACCCCTTCTCCAAAACAAGAATGTGGCAGGATTAGAGGAGACACAGTGACATAGAGAAAGACTTGAATCTACTCGAAGGTATGCTTTGAACAAAAAGAAAGAATTCAATGATGTCAGCACGTTATTAAGAAAAAAATGAATTGAAACATTTCAGAGTTGCAACACGTTGTTGAGAACTGCTGCCTTTGACACCAAACAGCTTGGAACACCTGGCACCAAAGTCACACAAATGGACTGCAACCAGTCTGTCTCGAGGGCTACCCCGCCTGGCGGCCTGCCCAGCAGGGCAGGTGCCACCTGCTGCCCTTTCTCAGTGGAGAAGGTACCAATACTTCTGACTGTGTGGAGAGACAGCCTGCCTGAATTCAAATCCTAGCTTCAGATTTTTTTGCTCTTCACTGGGGCTGTTCCCAAATACCCCAATTGTCCTTCTGCTGGGGTAGACCATAGATTACATTCCCCCCACCTTGAACGTGGGTGTGACTATGTGACTTACTTTAATTCTTTGGTGAGCAGAAGTGATGTGTCACTTCTGGTCAAAAATCAGTAAGCCCTCCTGACTCAAGAGTGGTCCATGGTGGGGCAGTACAGAAATCGCTCAGAAGTTTGCTAAAGATGCAGGATCTCAGGCCCCTCCCAGGCCCCTGAATCCAATGTGCATCTAAGGAGCTCCCCAGGTGATTCAGATGCGCATTCAAGTTTGGGAAGCTCTGCTCTAGACATAGAGCATTATTCACCACTTCTCTTTGCCCTGCCACGGTGACTGGTGATGATCCTGATGGGGGAGTTATGGCTACCCCCTGACCTGACTAGATGGACAAGAAGTGCAGCATGAGAGAATTAAACCTTTGTTCTCAGCCACTAACCCATAAAGAGTGTTACCTTGCAATGACCTAGCCCATTCTGACATGGTCACTTAGTACTCTGAGACCCTGGGCAAGGTATTTAATCTCCTGTGCCTCAGTTTCCCTGATGTAAAATGGAGATAACAGTACTGAATCAAAGGATTGTAGTGAGGATTAATGAGGTAACATATGAGCACCTAGTAAGGTCTAGGTAAATATTGGCTCCTACTATTAACATGTTCCATCCCTAAATCTCTACTTCCAGTCTGCTTACCTCAGTGACTGGAGTGTGACAACCTCTGTCCCTGGCAATCCTCTCCCCAAACCACACATACTCCAGGAACAAGTATGAAATCACACATCAGAAAGAGAATGAAAAATTACTTCTTCTCAGAAAGAAGTTGGGGATCTTCACTACAGTCACCTGGCCCACGCATTCATCATCTGTGTCTTCCATCGTTGTCGCTCTCCTAATATTGCAGATGCTAACCCTCACGCTCTTGCTTACCTTCCCAAATCCTACGTGCCTTTCAGGGCACAGCTGGTCTCCCTCCAGGAAGTCTCCCTCAAATACCTAGTATTTGTCTATTATCCATAAGGCCTGGTCCTAAACTCAATGCTGGGTGAATAATAACAATAATAATAATAATAATAGAACATCTAATATATGTTTATTTTTTGTCTTTCTTTCAAACTCGTGTATGTGATTCTAGCATCAAAGGGTTACAAAACGTGTTGCAGAGAAAATTGGGGAAGGTCTGAGATAGGGGATGGCATGGAGACAGATTCTGTTAAGATTCTGGTTTTTAAGAGTCCAATAGACTTTTGACATTATAGTAACGGTTCCTAAAGATGATAAATACTTGATAACATTTTTATTATGATGATTATGAATAAAATGTATTGTTTATTTGAAACACTAATAAAATGATAAATTCTTTTCTCCTTGCCACTTTCTTAAAGTGTATATAAGGAAACAAAATATTTTAAGGCGGAATAAATATGTCAGTGTCTTGGATCTCCCTTTCACACTTATAAACCAATGTTAAAAAATCATGGTACTGAAGCAATTCACCACAGTTGCACAATGAGCCACATTATTCAGTTCCAAAAATTCACAGAGCTTGAACAAGCACCTTGGAAATCCAACCTCAACATTTTAGAATCTCTAGGCCAGGGGGCAGCAAACCTCCTCTTAAAGGGCCAGGCTGCGTTCCAAAAAACCTAAATTTATGGACCCCGAAATTTAAATTTAATGCTCACCAGTCATTAAATTATTTTGATTTTTTTCAACCTTTTAAAAAGGTAAGCCATTTTAAACTTGTGAGTGGTACCAAAATAGGCCGCAGGCTGGGTTTGGCCCATGGGCCACACTTGCCAACTCCTGCCCTAGACTCCCAAGTTCCTGCTTCTTCAACTGCAACATTCACTTAAAAATCAGGTAAGAAGTAACCCCCTGAGCCTGTTTTTATTAACTCCACTTGAAAAAATGTAAGATCCTAAAGATGTCAAACTTTCACCAGAACTTATACCCATAAAAATAACATCACCCATCACCCCTTCCCTCACCACATACAATTAACAGTTATGGGTTAGAAAATAGTTGGCAGCTGTCTTCATGGGTGAAGTCAATGTAGTCTCCTTCCTCTGCCAAAAGGCAGGAAACCAGTTCTCGGTGCCTCTTCCCCAGTTGCTGCAGAATGACGGGGAAGGACAAGCTTTGGCTCCAACGTGGATTTTTAACCGTGAATCTCACTACTTTCAAACATTTTTAATTTTTTTTAAGAGCCTTGGCTTTTGCTATTTTTAGTGGTGCTCATTTTAAACGTAGCAGTGCTTGAAACATTTTAAGTCTAGATGTCTCTATGGAAACCCAAGAAAACTATTTTATGGCCAAATGACTACCTACCTAGAATTACACATCCTATTGGATCACTACAGTCCATCTGTGATTCCAGAAACAGGCTTATTTTCCCCAAACTCTATTTTTATCAGATATAATTAAGTTGATATAATTATTAGTTTTGCTGAGGCAGTCAAGAGATATAACTAATTTCTGATACTTCTTTCAATTTTTTACTAAGACATCCCTCTTTAAAACTGTCTTATTAGGGAATTTTGTAAATTTTGGCAAACATAATAAAAAAGAAAACATACAATCGAATAGTTTAACAGTTGCTTTGAAATTTATGTCATTAATTTTCTTCCCCTCCTTTCTGCCAATGTCAAATACACTTAAAAAACAACGTAACTGTTTCCCAATCCAAACTGTTTATTCATTGAAAATGAAAAAAATAAAAAACACACAATCTATAAAAATAAAAGTGTAATATGCAAATCAACTGAACAGCAGAACGACCGTCCAGAAAACCACAACCACGCTATGACACACACTGGCGCCAGGCCAGCCAAGGCAGGTGAGATGCGATTTGGGGGGCGGGCGGGGCAGGGTGCCATTGCCCCACAATCGTCCCTCAGAGGGAAGCCCAGGCCACCGGCCAGCGGGGCGAGCAATCAGGGTTCTACGCAATCTCCTTAAAGAGGGAGGACCAGGCCACCCTCTGCCTGGCGATCGATGGGGGGGGCGGGGGGGGGGCAGGCTGCGAGGCAGCTGGGGCTGCGAAGGCCTACCCTAGCACAAATTTCATGCATCGGGCCTCTAGAAATTATATAGTGTAGCATCAGATAAAATCTTCACCAGGTGAAGGAAGATGGCTTTTGGGTACCTCCAGATATGACACTGAGAACATAACCTCACCTAGAAGGCATAACCTGAATCTAATCATGACTAAACCCTATTATGAAGGAAAAAAAGGAAAAGTTGGGGCAGATGGACTGTATGATTTTTTTTAAATGTCCTAAAAAACAGAGAGGCCATGCCGAAACCGGTTTGGCTCAGTGGATAGAGCGTCGGCCTGCGGACTCAAGGGTCCCGGGTTCGATTCCGGTCAAGGGCATGTACCTGGGCTGCGGGCACATCCCCAGTGGGAGATGTGCAGGAGGCAGCTGATCGATGTTTCTCTCTCATCGATGTTTCTAACTCTCTATCTCTCTCCCTTCCTCTCTGTAAAAAATCAATAAAATATATTTTAAAAAAAAAAAAAAAAAACAGAGAGGCCATGGAAATGTTCGACTAAAAGAAGCTAAAGACACATGAGACACATGATATTGGACCCCAGAATGGATAACATCGCAGGGGAGAGCAGGGGGCAGCATAGTAGATAAAAGTAATCTATCAATGTGATTATATAAGAGAATATCCCATGCCTAGGAAATACTGAAACATTTCAGGGTAAAGGACCGGGATGTATGATGCATGTAATTTTGTACCAAATGGTTCAGAAAAACCATTATATATCAATAGAGAAAGAAGAAAGTGAGCAAATAATAAAACTAAAGGTGAAAAATGTTAACAATAGGTTTGAAGAATAAGGGATACATGGGTATTTTTGCAACTTTGCTATCATTTGAAATTATTTCCAAACGGAGAATTTAAGGAAAAATGAATAGTTCTTGCCTACATTGGCTGTCTATTATGTCTCCATGATATTCCAAATACAACACAGGAAGTGATGCTTGTGCCAAGTAACATGAAAGTGCAAAGATATTTTAACATGATCTCTTATCAGCGATCGAAGCCTGCCAGAGCATTATATACCACCCATTCTCAGCAGAGTCCATTGCAAAAACCAGTAAACATTGGATACTCTAGCAACATACATGCAATCACTTGCCAGTAATCTCTCTAAATAGGGTAGAAATGCTAGAACCTTTTTGCATCCCACAACTTTCAGAATTATCTCATACACAAAGCAAGTCTCTCAGCTAGTCTCTTAGATAGTCACTATCATTATCAATCATTTGGAGTCAATCTTTTTAACTGGAGCATCTTAATATTTTAAGCCATGTCTAAGTAGCTGGAGAATGAAGTACACAGAAAGCAGGATCACCTCATCATATATCCACAACTCCTCCCCACCACCTCGAAATTGCCGTCAGAATTCCTCAGCCTTAATGTCTATGACCCCATAATGGTCCTATACCAGTACAGGAGGTGCCAACCTCCAATTTGCAATACACCATCTATACTGACCACCACCCACCCTCCCACCCCCACCAAAAAAATAATAATAATGATAATTAGGCAGGGAACTGTGCCTAAGACCAAAAATTTAGGAGACTTTTTCTAAGTCAGTCACTGGATAATCAAAAAGGTCATAACCAAAATTAAAATTTCCAGCCATGCTTAAGAATTAGAAAATACCCACTCTCCAAAACACAACAAAACCAGAACATATATATATTGGTAAGTATATTAGATCCTTTCCTGTTTATAGTTTTATTACTTTCTAGATCCTTTTAGTAGTGACTATCTCTGGGTTAAAATAGCCACATACCATTTTTGGTTTTGGCTTTTTACCCTAGATATTCTCCTTATTGCTCATTTCCCAAAAAATTCCAATTAATAATTCTATTTAACACTTGTTTACTAAGAACCTACTTGGCATACGATGCTTAACCAGACATACTGGGTGGTATTCTCTGGAGGAAAGATTCCAAGTTTTTTTGTCTGCAAATAATCCTCCAGAAAATGATATGAAGACAATAAGTGCAATGACGTCTGCTTGCCGAAAAGCATAAGGAGCCAGAAATGAATTATGACCGACTACACATAGGAATAAACTAGTCAAAGCACTAAAATTTAACGAGAGGATAATCTTAAAAGAAGGGGAAATTGAAGAGAAGTTACATGTAACATAGATTTAAAATCATGCTTATTCTTCTCCATAAAACTCAAATGCAGTTAAAAACGCACATGTACAAAATGGAGCAATTCTAAATCCTCTGCAGCATGTCACTGTGATTAGCTGCTACGCTCAGCAATATAAAAAGACTTTCACAATTACTTTCCAGCCTGTAATGTAATTCAAAACAAACAAGTCAGAGACATCGCTCAAATGGCAGAACCAACAATACAGATGCTTTGTAGCAAGGAAATGAACCCACTGAAGAAATGCAACTGAGGAGCTGCTGTCCAGAGCCTGGAGCCGGGCTTCCGGTAGAACGCGGAGGCCCCCTTCTGGGCAGACGCGGAGCACTGCAGCCCAGCTCTGCAGCACCGCACTCCAGTCAGCGCGAATATCCGGGAGTGCCGGCTGTGGATATCCTTCCCAGGGCTGCGTTCACACTGTACAATTTCAGACTTTAAATTCTAAATCTGGATTTTTATAAAAAGAAAGAACTGTATTCGATTTCAGATCAAAGTAACCATTCTATTTAATTGTGCAACCAGCATTCCCACCACCAACGGCATGCCCGTTCGTTTTGCCTAATCCGGACCACCCTCTCACATGCTAACCTAGTATCTGTCTCCCCTGCTAGAACATAAGCTCCATGAGGGCAGCATGCTTTGTTTTGTTCACTGATTCCCAATACAGTTGCTCAATAACAAAGAAGGAATTGTCCCCTTTGTGCTTTTATCTTCTATTTTTAACATATCCATCTTCAAAAAAGGCACAAATACGGTTTTATTTTAGCAATATGTTGCAATTTAAAATGACACTTAAGCACTTGTTTTAGAATACGCATTTCCTCTAAATGCTTTATAAAGGCAAAAATCTGTTCAAAAGACCATATAATCATGGTCTACAGGTATGCAACGTAGACAATTTCCAAGAAAGTCACGGGCCCCCAACACTCTGGGAGAACATGGCGGCTGCAAAGAATGAAGAATGCAATTCTGCAATGCCAGGCGTGGGGCAGGGGTCCGCAGTGGCACAGCCTGGCGCAGACACGCCAGGTAACTGCACCTGCAGGTACCTGCTCTGATAGCACTGTCATGAACTGGTGATGCTTTTGGCAAGAAGTGCATTGTCCTGCTTACTAATTTCTAAAACCTCAATCTTTTACTTTCCAGCTTGTGGAAAAACTAGTTAATAGTTTATTGCAATTGTCAGACTTTGTCAAAGTGTTCATTTGTTCCTTTAACAGAGCAAATGATGAGAGACCATTTTTCCCACAGGTTAAGGACGATATACAACATCTGATTCAATGATGTCACCAGCACTCAGGCAAGAATTTCATCCAGCGGCATTAGTCTTTCGTTAGAACAAACTCAGGATCTCGGACACTCCTTTTTCCGAACCTTTGATTTTGGTGCTGTGAGGAGGACAGAAAAGAAGAAGAGAAGGTGAAGAGGCAGGCTGTGTCAGACTCTCTTTGTCCTGATTTGTTTGAAGTGAGGTACTTTATATACCATAGGGAACACTGACCGTTTGGATTTTCTTGTTTGTAGAAGTTCTTTAACATTTCCACTGCTTCCTCAGCCCGATACCCCGGAATGCACTGATGAAAAGAGAAAGTTCAGAATGAACAGAGGACTATGATAATGTGTGTTGTGTTCCATAAAAAAAAGGCAATATATAGTTATATAAACAGATCATGCTAATACACTTTGTGGATATTAGTAACACGGGAAGCATGTTTCCAAATGAATAGCTATCTGGCCTGTCAAATATCACTCTCAATCAACTAATTATTATTTCTCAATTAACTACTATTGAAGTTATGAACTATGTGATCTTGGGTAAGTTTCTTAAAGTCTCTATGCCTCAGTTTCCTCATATGTAAAATGTATTTAATTATAGCAATTTAACCCAGAAGGATTTGTGAGGATTCAATAAAATTAAATAAAATCATGCCTGTCAAGAACTTAGCACATCATAAGGGCTCATTAAGCATTAATTATTTTTTATCTGCTCTTATTTACTGTGGCCCATTAAGTGTTTGATACTATAGCTATGGTTGTCTGTCCACTGCTAAAAATGGTTAGCTAAAAAGGGGTTTTATATTTTTAAAGTGTTAAAGAAATAGGAATATGCGACAGAGACATAAATGGCGCACAAAGATTAAAATATTTACTATCAGGCTCCTTACAGGGGAAAACAATTGTCAATCCTTACTTACTATAGAGGATTTTTTAAGTGTTCACTTTGTGCTATCTTGGTACCTAATTGGGAGAAAAGAACAACATGGAAGAAAGCGAAATTGTGGTAACGTAAGGATCTGAAACTTGAACTTGCCTTAATGATAGAACACTTAAAGAGGTTAAACAGAGCATATTAGGTAAAGAATAAGAACAAGCTTGGGTTGTGTGGGAGGAAACCAGCTGATGGGGCAGGGGCAATTATTAAGGGAGTATAAGGAAAGAAATGAGAGATAAACACAAGTCAAAATATATAGGGCTTTGAAAGCTTGTCGCAGGAGTTTGAACTGGATACATTGCACCCTTCTGAGATGCATGAAAGGATAAGAGCAGAATCTTCAGGGAGGCCCGCCTGGAGGCAGCATACAGGACAGGAGGGACCCAGCGAGCAGCGGCACAGAGGGCTGGCAGGCTCGGTCTGCTGCTCAAATTGAGCCCCTTTCTCCTGTGCCCACAGAGGCTGCATAAACCTTCCCCATCAAAACAAATAACCTCCTACAAGTTCAACACGTTTGGATTCCACATATAAGTGAAATCCTGCAGTATTTGTCTTTTTCTGTCTGACTTTGGATAATACCCTAGATATACGACAGTTGCTATGAGAGTAGAGTTTAAATGTTCTCACCAGAGCAACAACAACAACATGGTAACTATGTGAGGTGAAGGATGTGTTAACTCACCTTATTTTGGTAAACTTGTCACAATATATACATGTATCAAATCATCATGTTTTACAGCTTCAACTTACACAATGCTAGATGTCAACAATAGCTCAATAAAGCTGGGGAAGACAGCCCAATGACCTTCCTTCTACCCTGAGCCCAGGCAAGCTGCTCCCCCGCTGCTCCCTGAGAATTTTTCAGAATCATGGCCTTCACTTTGGAGGCTCTCATTGCCTCCTCAACCTCACCCTCGCTGGCCTGTGCCCCCAGGACTCCACTGGAACTACCCGCTCAGACATCAAGGGCAGGGAAAATATAAAAATACAGGTATTGATTGCTACGCACCAAAAATAGTATGTGGCAATAGAGCAAAATTATTGAATTTGTGCAAAAACACTGTGTTTATGGTAAACAGCATCTACTGTCACTGTCAGAGGCCAAGCTTCACACAAACTTGGTAGAGCAGGGAGCCGGAAACACTCACGGAGTGAAAACGCCAACAGCGGCAGTGTCCTCGGGCATGCCTCCCGGCCGGGGCGAAGGTTGTCAGGAGATCCCTCGGAAGGCTGGGCACGCTCCTCCCACAGAGGTTCGGTTGATTCCAAGCTGGGCACACACCCGGAAATGACTGCCTGTCACTCACACTGAACTCGATCAGCAGTCCTGAGAGCCTGTCTAGTTCTATCATGGTTTCTGGTATACCCACCACATGCTCACCCTTCACAAGCCCATGATGAGATCAAAGTCATCAGAAAGAAAGAAAAAGCGTAACAGTTCATGTTACCTGAAACGGTCTCCCAGTATTTGGTAAATCAGCAGAGGCAATATCGAGAACAGAGCCACAACCGCCAAAACGTTCATTCTGACAGCCATACACAACCAGCGGGATTTATGTGAGAGAATTAAGGTCCTACAGAGAATGCGCAGTTCAAGACAAAACTAGGATTTAAGACCGGCCATTCTGGAGAGGAACGCTCATGCTATTCTTAAAAACAACTAAGCTTGGGCTTAAGCTTAAACATCATGCAATGCAGTTACACAAAAGAGGTTTAAAGGATTTAGAAATTAATACCTCACAATTGCAAAGAGAATGAAAACTAAATATGTCACTGGCAAATGTTCAGTTTGATATTCTCTCTGGTTTTCCCTAAATCAGTTGTTTTGGAATCATTAGAGAATCACAGCCAACAAAGAGGCAGGAATTTAACCCAGAGATTTTCACCTTGTAAAGATAACATTTGGTTACCTGTGCTTTCCCCAAATAAAATATGTCCTGTGGCCCCGTACAAAACGGGCTAAAGCTGAACCACTCTGTACGGCAGGATGGGGACAGAATCCTGTTGACCATAACTAGCCTCTTTATCAAGCTTGTACGTTTTATCAGACACAAAACCCTCTGTCTTTTTTTAAAGTGATCAAATGTTTCACCCATACACAGTAAAATATGTAGATAAAAACATGCAAGTGTGAAACTGAGTTTTAAATTATTACATACATTTTTTAAATCTTTAGAGACTAACTTGCAGCACTCAGTATTTGTGTCACTTACTCTATGAAATACAAAGAGCTGTAACTATCAATTTCCCATTATTTACAACGACATCATAATGTATTGGTTTGTTCTTTAATTTGTATTGACTCCTGACAAAATTTGTCATATATCATAATAGGTATTTATGGCAAAAGTAAATGAATAAAAACCTATAAATGGCCCTAGGTGGTTTGGCAAGGTGGATAGAGCATTGGCCTGCGGACTGAAGGGTCCAGGTTGGATTCCAGTCTAGGGCTCATGCCTGGGTTGCTGGCTCGATCCCCAGTAGAGGGCGTGCAGGAGGCAGCCAATCAATGTTTCTCTCTCATCATTGATGTGTCTATCTCTCTTTCTCTCTCCCTTCCTCTCTGAAATCAATAAAAATATATTTTTAAAAAATTAAAAAACAAATATATAAACGGAGAAAGAAAATTTTTAAATCACCAAAATCTATTATCCCAAGGCAAGCCTTAGGTGCATTTTTTTCCAGACCTTTCCTTATGTAGTTTAATCCTATTTTAACTTAAATTATGATTTATTCTTCTATTACAGTTCAAATTAGTGCTAAGCTTTTCTATCTCTAGCTTATATACTAGCTACATGTTTATAGAAGGTTAAAAAGGTTATTTTACTATTTAAAAAACTTTCTAAAGCTTTTTGGCCTTCACCTCCTAGAATTTGTTTCCTAAGTAGGGACAGGTTACCTGTCGGGCCACTTTCAAGTTCACAGGAAGGGTACAGACATTAGCCCAAGGATACTCAGGAGGCGGAGGGCAGCTGCGCACATGATGCACGGCTCCACCGTGACGTACAGCACCGTGCGCTCGAACACCGCCGCGGGGCTCCGGCCGCTCGCCCGGCACCAGGCGAGGGCCTGGTCGATGGCCACCATTTCTGCATGTCGAGTAGCCTGAAAAGAGAGAGGAGCTTGCCTTGACAATGCTTGCTACATGTAACTGTATTCTGCAACTATTCAAAAATAAATACCGAAAAAATTGGGCCTCCTATTTCTGCCAACGTTTTAAAGAATGGAGGTTTCAGGACACTCTTAGCAGTTGACAACATAGTCCCCAGGTCAAGTTCCATAACATCACCAAAAAATAAATTAATTAATTAAAAAAAAAAAAACATCGCCAAAAAAGACATTTCATCTGAAATGCTGTACGAATCATGCTATATTTTAGTTACTGGTAAGTACCTAAGAAGTTGGGGGATGTTCCTTCAATTAAAATGCCACAGTGAAGATGTGTCTTAAAAATATGATCCTAGTATTTCTGAATATTTTAGGGAAGGATTGAAACTTTCATAAGAATGTGCTCCGATTTCAAATGTTTTCAAGGTTGTCACTGACTTCACTCTAAGCAAATTTACATTTAGTTTTTACTGACTGTCTCGCATTTTCTTTGGGATAAGATTGTATATAATGGCAGATTTTTGGTATAGCTCTCAGATACCTCATGTAAGCAGTAGAATAAAGGGGAAATCACACAGCACTTGGAATCAACCATGTTTAAATATGAATCCTTATTGTGACATTACTAATTATGTGGCCTTGAGCAAGTTACATATCTTCTCTAAGTCTTGGTTTACCCATAGGTAAAATGGGGTACAGTGGTTTCTATACCTCTCAAAGCAATCTGAATTATGGGAAGCACATGCTGTATAATGTTATAATATACTCTGCTATGCAATAATTATTTATAACTAGAGACCCGGTGTACGAGTTCGTGCATGGATGGGGTTCCTAGGCCTGACCGGTGATCGGTGATCGAGGCCGTCTTGCATAGTCCCAATCAGGGCCGGCCGGCTGGGAGGAGGGACTGCAGGAGGTTGGCTGGCCACAGATTGCTGTGGGAGTACACTGAACACCCCAATGGCTAGGGGGACAGACCATGGGAGGTTGGCTGTGGGAGCACACTGACCACCAGGGGGCAGCTCCTGCATTGAGTGTCTACCCCCTGGTGGTCAGTGTGTGTCATAGTGACAGGTCAAGCCAGCACCAGTTTGGCTCAGTGGATAGAGCGCCGCCCTGCAGACTGAGGGGTCCCAGGTTCAATTCCGGTCGGGGGCACATGCCTTGGTTGCAGGCATATCATGATCATCACATTTATCAACAAACTTATATTGAGTGTTATCTATGTCCAAGCCACTGTGCTAAATTCTGTGTGGAATAAAAACTCTCCTCAACAAGACTAAAGTCTGGTAGGGTAAACAGAAAGTTGCTCATCTACCTGTGACCAAGGACAGGTTGTGAAAAATGCTGGCACAGTGGCCCAAGTACCATGAAAGCCAGGATTATAAACTCAGAGTCAGAAGGGATTTTAGAAAAGAGGTTCCCAAACCTGGAAGCATACCAGAACCCACCGGGGAGCTTGAAAAAGTTTCCCCAACTCGAGTGCTTTTTATAAATCAGATTCAGAATGACCAAATCAAATCTCCCCATAGTTCTCAATAAGTAATTGTTGGAATGAATCATATTAAGCAACTTCCTCTTTTATGGCAGAAGAACCAGAAGCTAAGACAGAACGTATTAAAGCCGCACAATGGAACAGGTGGTAACGGTGGTAACAGGGGAGTGGAGGTGGCATTGAAGCCAAAGTAGGACTCAGGTCTCCTCATTTGGGGTCAGGAGTCTTTCTATACTGGGATTATGGGGTATCTAGTATAGGACACAGAATACCAAAATAAATCCAGATTAATTTCAAAGTAAAGAAGAAACACATGTCATGGGCCATAAGATGGATATTGTTAGGACATTCAAAGTTCTTATGTAAAAGATACTGTGCCAAATAAATCGCAAAATATAAATGGGGAGATATGACAATTATCTAAAATACAAAATTCTACTCCCAAACATAGTATCTATATAGTCACTTATAGCTGTATTATGTTTATTACTTATCTCATGGGTATTTTGACACCCACATAACTGCTTTGGGAATCTGTGTTCCCACTTTGCATGTGTTTTGCTAAGTCTCAGTTTTGTCTTTGATAGATAAGATGGATGAACTTGAAAGTCCACATAGCACTAGCACCAACACCAGCTTATTCCCTGGCTGGCAAGGTCACACAACAAGATCAAAGTCTGTGAGAGTGGGCTTAGGCTCTCCTTGAGTCCACCGAGTACTTCTCATAATCATAAAATCTGACACTTCATCTATAGTTACTGGGACACACTGTTGTGATACCACATTCAAGAAGGGCTGCCTTAATTCATGAACTTCCCACCCTAGCCACAATAAATGGAAGTCTCACAACCTAGTGAAGTATACATACTCCATGTAGTGGAGACTTCATCCCACTGAATTATCTGAAATAGAAATAGCTTCTTTACACATCCTTTTAGAGCTACTAAAGAATGCGATATGAGTTAAATAGAGATGTTTTATAAAGTGAAATTTTCCTATATTAACTTTGCTTAAAATGGAGAAGACTCATTTCTTCTACACTGACATACCAATGTAATAAAACTGCCTCTTAGGTTTACACTCAAGTGTTAAAGTCAACATGTGTCACTTTTAGAATCAAAAGAAAAAAAAAGGCATTCAAAAAAAGAGATGTTTAGGGAAACTACCCTTCCATTGATACCTTATTGGACTCTGTTACAGAGACCCATCATCTCACCAGCTGTGATAACTGCATCCACTTTTATTGTCACTGCCCTGTATATGCAATTATACTCACATACATTTTTGGTTTGGTTAACTTCATTCCTTCCTTTCCCCACAACTTCATTGTTGTAGACCATAAGGCAGCCAACAGGAACTTCAATATTTTCTAGGGCTTCTTTGGCCTGAAAAACAAAGTGGAAAATCTAAGATGTAATGTTGAATACTTGAAAGGACTACAAGAAAGAAATAGATGCAGCAAGAGCAGTAAACGCATGTGTAAATACTAGAACGAAGAAAGGTGACTGGCCTTTCCCTTCTCTCAGATACAGTTCCGTGCTTAGTGCCTTTGCTCTCTGGGTGTCCATATGAAGGGAGATCAGGAACAAATCCCTCCATAGGTCCTGAGCCCCTGATGTATTTTTCCTCATTGGAAGCAGAGGTGATCAAAAGACTTATTGACTCTTGTTCTTAAATTTCCAGGGTCTATGCACCTTTTCAGAGAGAGTATATATATATATATTTGCAAAGAGGTAGAAGAATCAATGATATAAATCCTTTCTTAAAAATCTTTCCTTGTTGAAATTCTACTTGGTTAATTTTGTTTCTCCAAAAAGGACAATATCTTCTAGCGTTCCAGTAACATACAGGTGACTTCTGCGCTAAGGGAGACAAGAAAAGCTGAGGAGCACTCTAGGGGAAAATGGCTCAACCACCTTGGAGAAATTTTGTAAGTTTCCTTTAAAAGTAAACAAACGTATCACCTATGGACAAATTCAACTCCTGAGTGTTTCTTTAAGAAAAGGGATTGTATATCTACCAAAAAAAAAAAAAAAACCAGCAAAAGAATGGTCATAATAGATTGATTCGCAACAGCCCAAATCTGGAAATAGCACTGGTGTCCATCAACAAAAGAATGGATGAACCACCTGTGGTCTATGCACACAGTGGCATACAACCGAGCAATAAAAAGGGACGAAGTGCTGATACACACATCAGCCTCAGACATGCTGGATAAAAGAAGTTCAACACAAAGCAGAGGATGGGAAGTACTAGACTAGACAAAATTAAACTACAAAGAGAGAAATTGAAATGGTGGTTGCTTCCTGGAAGGGGATGTGTAGATTGATCGGTTGGAAAGGGACATAAGGAAATTGGGTTACACAGATGCTAACATCTCTCAAAACTGAATGAACAATGCCTTTAAGACCTGGAAAAGCTGAGGAATTATGTCCTCTAGAGCCTCCAGAGGGCGCTCAGCCCTGCTGAAACATTGGTGGCCCAGAGAAACTGCTGACTCCTGGCCTGCAGAAAAACAAGAGAATAAACTTATTGTTTTATGCCACCAAGTTTGTGGCAATTTGTTACAAAGCCATAGGAAACTAATAGCCCCTTAAGAAGAATAAAAGACAAACTAAAACTGGAAGGAGATATTTGCAAACCACATACTGAACAAAGATCTCATATGTAGACTACGTAAAGAACGCTCAAAAATTAAACAAGAAACTCCAAACAAGCCCCTTAAAAAATGGGCAAAATATATTAACAGACATTTGGCCAAAGAAGGCATACAAATGGCAAATAAGTACATGAAAAAAACGTCGACATTAGCCATTAGGAAAACGCAAATTAAAACCACAATGAGATGGTACTACATACCTATCAGAATGGCTCAAATGAAAAGTTAAAAACACCAAGTGTTGGGAAGGCTATGGAGAAACAGGATCACTCATACACTGCTGGTAGAAATGTAAAATGGTACAGCCACTCTGAAAAACAGTTGGGCAGTTTCTTAAAAAACTAAATATGCCCTTAACACATAACCCAGCAATTGCACTCTTGCACATATATTTAGCCAGGAAAATAAAATCTTAGGCTCATACGATACATCATTTCATATATAGACACGAATGCTCGTAGAAGTTTTATTCATAATAGCCAAAAATTGGAAATGACCCAAACATCCTTCAGTGGGGGAATATTGAGACAAACTCCGGTACATCCATGCCATGGAAAAACTACACGGCAATAAAAAGGAATGAACTATTGACTGACTCGACAAGTTGGATGAATCTCAAGGAAATTATGTTGAATGGGAAAAAAAATCTCAAAAGGTTACATATTCTTGTATATAACATTCCTGAATGACAAAATTATAGGTATGGGGAACAGACAAGTGGCTGCCTGGGTTTAGGGTTGGGGGTAGATGGTAGCCATAAAAGGGCAGCATCAGCGAACCCGTGATTATGGAGCAGTTCTGGTGGTAATTAAACAAAACTAGACACGTGACAATATTGCACAGAACCACACACACACACACACACACACACGTGACTATAAAGCTGAGGCAACCTGAATAAACTCAGACTGCACTGATGCCATCTTCCTGGTTTTGATATTGTACTGGTGTCATATAAAATGCTAGCATTGCAGGAAACTGGGTAAAGAGTATATGGGCCTTCCCTGGACACTTTTTTGCAACTTCCTGTGAAACTACTACTATTTCAAAATGAAAAGTTTAAAAAAAAAAAAGTGGAGCAAATAAAAAGTATCTTGGAATGCAGACTAAGAGATGCCTAGTGAAGCAGGAGGAAAACCGGGAGTGCGTGGTGTTATGAGCGACCTGAGAAAAAAAAACAGGCCGAGAAGGAAGGGTCAGTGATATGGAGGCAGTTTGGGTAGAAGGTGAAAAGGTTAAGAACCAAGAACCTAGAAGAATAAAGAAAAGTTAGGCTGGCGGGGAGGATAGGTGGAAGTTGGGAGGCTGCCAGAGGCAGGTTGAGGAATTTAAAGGTGAGAGAGGAAAACAGAGCTTCTGAGTGTCATTAGTGCAGTGGTTCTCAACCTTCCTGATGCCGCGGCCCTTTAATACAGTTCCTCATGTTGTGGTGACCCCCAACCGTAAAATTATTTTTGTTGCTACTTCATAACTGTAATGTTGCTACTGTTATGAATCGTAATGTAAATATCTGATATGCAGGATGTATTCAGGCTACCCCTGTGAAAGGGTTGTTCGACCCCCAAAGAGCTCACGACCCACAGGTTGAGAACCGCTGCATTAGCAGGAACTGCTGTAGTGTAATCTTTTGGATGTTGTTACCGTCTACCTAAGAGTTTTCTGGCTAACTTGTTTTTTTCTCCAGCTTTTTTTTTCTTTCTTGCATAGGAATTATATCTGGGGACTCATCAAGAGTCTGTGCAAACTGCAGTCAAACCCCCTTTGAGCATCTGATGACTCGCATGGCATGGAACAGGCACGTGCACATAATGTTGTTATATAGTTTCAGGTTAGGAAGCCCTTTTCTAGACAGATAGCTGGCTCACCTCCTCACCCAAGACAAAGTCCTCTATTTCTTGGCACTTAAGAGTTACCCTGCTTTGATCAACCACTCCCTTCCTTTTCACCAGCCCACATTGCTTTTGTTCTTTTTAAAATGCAGTAAGCATCCCAAACTGATCTCACCGACTTGCTCAGGACTGTGTTGCCTATTATCTGATAGCACTTTATACCTGTCTCTAATTTTGGACCCGGAACATGTTACTTATTAATTTTTGCATTGGTCCATGTTCATCCATTAAACAGTTATGTTCCTGGGAGGCAAGCACCCGATCCTCGCACTAGCAAACTTGACTTGCTCACCTTTGCAGCCTTAGTACCTGGCACAAGACCTAAAACATGGGAAACAATAACAGCACAATTGTTGAAATGGTAAGTATCTGTGCTTGATTTCTTTTTGAATTTTCCTCAGACCTAGCACAATATTATACCAATACCAGACACCCAGAAAATGAATACTACAATCCTATATAATAAAAAGCTAATATGCAAATTGTCCCCTCTATCGGGAGCTTGACCAGGGGGCGGGCTGGCCTGCCAACATCCCGTGTCGCCTCCCCCGGCCCAATAGGCCAGCTGGACCCCACCTGTGCACGAATTCATGCACTGGGTCTCTAGTAATATATAATTGATTTATTCTAGAACACTTGCTTTCTCTCAATAGATAGAACTAGATAGATAGATAGATAGATATTGATAAACACACTCCATCTTTCTTTTTTCCTAATTATAAAGTAAGATATGTTCAAGGGGGAAAATTTAGGGGTAAAATATCCACATTAAAAAATAAAACCACTTAGTTATTATTCTGTAACAGAAGATTTTCATGTTTTTTCTTGCCTGCATATACATGTTTGTAGTTTTTTAAAAAGTCAAATAGCCGAAACCAGTTTGGCTAAATGGATAGAGCGTCGGCCTGCGGACTGAAAGGTTC